AGACTTTTCTCACAACAAAATAATTCATTTGATAGAGAATTTTATTCTCTACAAAATGGTCACAATTTCTTATATCATTGTGCAATGCATTATCCTCCAAAACGGTCCTCTTTCGATATACCATCGGTATAAATTTTGCTCATTCAATCTCTTAAGCACACGTTGCAATGCGATTTCGCATGCCCTTGGCTGACTCCGCTCCTGCGCTCATCGTCAGAGGCGTTTCTATGGCGAAGTGCGACGACGACGACGTCTCATCATTCTAATCAACTAATAAAAGATTTTCGTTTACGCCGATAACAGTTTATCACTTCATTGAAATAGCTGAATTTTCGTTATCTTTCGATTCACTATCACCTGATTATTTTCTTTCACTGCTCAGTGTTCGGGCAGGAGTAATTCTGGTCTCTCGGTCGCATTGAAATACCTGTTTAACGTGAGTATTGCGTTAATAAAAGGCATTGATTCGTTCTAGTTCATGGTGTAAAGTGGCTATTTAAAGTGATTGATTGTGTACTATCGATTGAATGGAGACTCATCAAACTCCAAGCAGAGTTTAAGTCGAGACTGATCGTGATTAGTGAAGCCATTGTTTGATAATTGTTGTTGTGTTTTGCGGTGCGTCGTTTAAACGTGTTCTTTGATTATCCAGTATCGAAGGTTGTTTGTTAATGTTTTGCGTAGAATTTAGATAACTTGGCTGTGAAATTTGTTCGAAAATCAAAGTGGGTAAATCTTATTCAAATGGCGCTGTTTTCATTGGAGATCTTCAGTTGCAATACAAAAACACCAAATTCGATTGCAGTTATCGAAAATGTAAATCAGTTACTTTCGTTTCACGCTTTCGTCCTTTCTTTTCATTCCCGTAGACACATGGCAACTTCGAGAGGATGGCAGTAGTGCGTTATTCCGTTACTTTACCACTGAAAAAATGCGGAATGCGGAATAGCACGCTATTGCCACCTCTGGTAATTTCCTATTTCCTCGATTGAATGTTTGACTTCCGAATTAAGGATTTTGAATTTCGTAGTGGTGAATGCTACAAATGGCAACATCATAGATAAGGTATGACAATTTAAATAAATTAACTGACAATGAGTTAGAATTTGAATGTTATGCGGTAATGAATGTAGAAAATTGAAGGGTTTTCTGATTCAGCTATTACATTGATTGCTCGTAACAGGACATGAATGTCCATGAAGGATTCATAAAACTCTGCTTTAAAATCATGTGTGTGTCTGTTTCTAATTTCCTATTTTTGTCTATTTAGGTGACTTCCGAAGATACGATTCTCGCAATTAAGAAACGAATTGCTCAGAAAAGTTTGTTTTCTCATTCTTTTACGTTTCATTTTTCAGTGCTTCGTAATATTCGCCAAGTTTTTTTCTGTTGTAACCATTTTTTCAAATAATATCTCATAATTTTGTTCAATTGCAACTTTTGGAACAGATTTGGAAGTTATGAAAATGCAGTTTTGCTTCAGTTTCATTACTGAATGATTTGTTATAGAGAAAACCCTGTCGGTGGAACGTCAGTCGTTACGTTTGGATGTGAAAGGTAAAGGCTTGAAGGATGATCAGCACATTGGCGAGTTGAATCTTCCATCGGAAGGCGCACAGCTGTTCGTGAAGGATCTCGGCCCTCAAGTTGCTTGGAAAACGGTGCGGTGTATTTTCATTGCGAAATTTGTTTCATTTTCGAATTATCAAAGCTGAAAACAAGATCAGTCGAAAATTAGGAGTGAAGGTCAAGGAATTATTCGAAACGTAGATAGTTTTTTGAATTCTATTCAAAATTTTTTAAACTTAAAGCGAGAGTCGTAAGAATAGTTTAAGATCTTTAAAAGAAGTGATAGTTTTCGTTTTTAATTGTAAAAGCTGTGAAAAATTGTTGCATTCATGATTCTATTGTTATCTTCTACCGTCATGAAATGTGAGCAATTCATTATATTGGTTATTAAATGATGACTAATTTGATATTTTAGGTTTTCTTAGCAGAATATGCGGGCCCATTGTTCATCTATCCGATGTTCTACTTTAGACCGTCGATCATTTATGGAGGTGTGTATTGTTTAATGGCTTCGTCCGATTTATTTTTGTTGTGGATATTTTCTGATTGGACATTCATTTATTTATTTATTTAATCAGCAATGACAATAACTCATTACGAGTTATGCCTCTCTATTATCACCAATATGAACGATATTACATTCTTCTTTTCTTGATGTTCTTCTTTCCGCGCATCTGACGATAATACTGTTGGGAATCATCTGTCTTCATAAAAATCTGAAAATGAGGTTAATTATTGCTTTGATGAGCGCAGAGGTTCTGGGCTACCCTGCATATTCCCAAACAATTTTTGGGGAATGTGACTCAAAATGAAGACTGGGTACTATTGTGAACACTGTTGTTGATGTTCATATCACTGGTTTATTCGTGCAGTTTATTAATTATGCAATCATAATGTTCGGTGTTCACGGAAGGATTGTGTTATCGCATCAATTTTAAGAGAAATCGTCAATGCCGATCGCATTCCCTGTTACATTGGCAGTGATGTGTTGGTCAGTACATTACGCGAAACGATTGTATGAGACGCAGTTCGTGCATCGATTCAGTAACGCTACAATGCCGAGATTCAATCTGTTTAAGGTAAGTTTTTGGTGATTCTCATTTATAATTACTTATTATATCATTTATAAGGCGAACGTCGATTAGACGCTAACATAATGATAGAAAATGCTGTGTGATGGAAATTTTAATTGTGTAAATATTCTACATGAATTTCTCTTCACAACATGTGTTTATGATCATGCCGTTATTTATTTATTTATTTTTCTACTTTTTTAATTTGATAACACCCGAACGAATATTCAGAATTGCTGTTATTATTGGGGATTCTGTGCGTACGTGAGCTATTTCATCAATCATCCACTTTATACACCTGCATCGTTTGGCACTGTTCAGATTTTGTCTGGTTTGATTGGATTTGTGGTATGTGAAATGGGTATGTTGTTCGAAATATTGTTGTTGTTGGTGGTGATGATTTTGAAATTGAATCTGAAAAGTCGATTTGGAAATAGCGATTGATTTCACACTTAGATGATCGATCTTGTACTGATTATGTGAGAGATATTCAGTGAATATTAGATCGGACATAAAGTGTAGGTTGCAGTTGATAGCAGTAAGGTCGAATGCATTGAATTTTTGATTGAGTTTGTAATTGCTTATTATATTTTGCAATGATATTATTATCAAATGCTTTCATTGATTCTTCATTGCATATTTGGTAAGCCGAAAGTGAAGTAAGCACTTGTTTGATCTAGTATTAAGTGCAGCAGTTAGAATGCGATAGAATGAAATTATCGAATGCGAATATTGGAATATGAAGAGGTATTGTTGCTTGATATGATCCATCAATTGTGTAAAGATAAAATATTAAGGGAATTTCTCGATTCACACATTACTCCGTGA